ACACCTTGAACACCAGGTCTAACTACAGAGGAATGGCAGCCACAGCGAACACTACGCTCTCTGTGTAAAGAGCTCGGTGCCGTCACGCCTGAAACGTTTCCTAGTTTTCGACTCCTACTTAATGCCGCATTGGGATGTTTTTAATAAAGTGGCATCTCCAACACCCAAGAGGGTCTCCACTCTCGGTGGCAAAAATACAATTATCTGCGGTAACGCCGGTTGTGGGACTGAGAGTTCAAGCACATTCCGGAGGACTTTAACACCTTAAACTAGTAATATTGGGGCATCGCGGAGGGATGGGTGACCTTGTTATGGCTTCGAAGGTCATCTCTTGGGCAAATCATAGAAACAAATTACCCTTGCCTGCAACAAGGTGATGACCTTGAGGAAACCCAGCAGGATGGTGCATCAGAGGGCTAGCAACAGGCCTAGGTCTAACTTTTCCCCTTGGAAGTATTAACTTTATGGGATGCCTTGCTAAGGAATGTAGTCACAGTTTTCTCAGTAGACCTGTTCAAAATACGGTTAGATAATCACTTCATTTCGCGTGGTTTACCACAGACACACCCAGGGAATTATTAACATTACTGGCCCACAATAACTCCTCTTCTACTTACCACCTACTAGATTCAGATTCATTGTTTGAGGATAGAAGCCTATATTAATCCCTTTCCAGTAGATTTCTGTGCTTGTCCAATCCTCTTTTGAACGAATCAATTGATGATACGGATACCACTTCTTCTGGGAGTCAGTTCAAGGTGTTGATCACTCGACGCGAGAACCAGTACTCTGTGGAGACCATGTTCTTTCTTAGCATTTGTAGTCTTCAACTGTGTCCTCTGAGGTGTTCCGACCAAGTGAGAAAGAAAAGAGAATACAGATCAAGTCCGAAGTCATTCCTTAGAATCCTGTATAGCATGATTAGGTCTGTCCTCTGTCTGGGATAAGACATTGCGAAGAGGTCCAGCTTCTTAGGTAGGTCTTCATAGATGGGGCCAGCCATTGCAGGGATCATATGAAACATCTAGACTCATAATAGCTACCTACACATTTCGGATGATTCCCACGTGCTTTTCCTCACTATCTCGCTATTTCTACTCAGGAATCTATACAAACGGGAGTCACAACGGACTCCCAATCGTCCAAGCGACCCATAGCTCCAAAATCCCTCTAAAAATTGAAGTCTATCAACCCACGAAAACGTTCTGTTCACTGAAGCTAAGGGCAGGGAAGTAAAAGACATTTCCTCGCTCACCGCAGCAGCAGACCGAACCACACGAACCGGGCCCCAAAAACTAGACACGAGAGATCTAGAACTACCAGTTCCCTACGGTCCCACAATCAATGTGCGAACTTGACAGACGCAAAGACCAATCACTAATTATTCGAACTTGTTATATACCCACGAATACGAGACCAAGGAAGAACACGATAGCGTAGTCGGATGGAATAGTATATTTGTGTGGTTATGCCAAAATACCGATGCTTTCCAACTAACTGGCTAGAGAGTCGAATACGAGTATTGCAACGTAACACGACAGCGTGCCAAATGGCGAGGATGCTTGACCGGGTGCCTTCAGCTTAGCGAGTCCAGTTAAACTATCAAGGTCAGCATCGATGTCGAAAGTCGTCAAACCCTAGGCTATTGATTTTGGGGAAGTGTATGACGCTACAAAGTCTTGAATTTGTCAGACATATTACGGGCAAATGGGGCAGTACGATGTGTCACAGTTCGTCAAAGGCCTGAAACCATTCAGTTTGATCCAGTAATGAAGCAGCAAAAATTAACCGATTCATAAAAGCTCTGATCACTCACGTTGGTTATTAAATGCCATGCGCAAAACATAAAAGGTTCGTTACAGCGGTCTGTTTGCACCAAATCATATTTCCCGGTTGTTTTTGGTGTCACTAGTCTTGTCCACCTTCATTATATTTCGATTAAATGAGACTAAAGTCCAGTAGCTTCAGTGCTTTACTACCAACGCATATTTTTTTTCAGCTAGTGGGTCACGTTGTCGGGTGTAAACTACCTAACCAATTTTGTCACTGCATAAACCATGAGGCCCTAAACCTCTGATTGAAAGGGTTTTTATGCATGTTTCTGTGTTCCGCCCATTGTCTTAACATTTTGATGCACCTGTCTACGCTTTTCCCGTCGGTCTGCATTGCTCCGAATGGCCATTCGGATCGGTCCAAAATTCTTGGAAGTACGTGATTCTACAAACCGAAGGTAAAAGCTTCAATGTTAAAACAGAGGTGAACATACATCTACTTTTACTAGCAACACCTTATGGTAGTGAGGACCCTAATTTGAATCCAGAGGTGACTGGGACTGCACATCCTCTAACCCTACTATCCATACTTGTCACCGAAGTTTCACGTCTGCTCAGTTATGCTGACCACACTAAACTTCTTAGTCGCAGCCTACCCCACCAAAAACCTGTAGTTGGTTGGTACCTTTCAGATATCAGTATCTGATCGGAATTTGTCAGCTAATTCTCCGCTAGCGCATCTGTGCCGGAATGTGCAATTAGAGGACCATTTTAACATCATACAATCGCAAACGATAATCAATAAGCAGATTTACTGGAATATATAGATATCATCAAAGCATATCATGCTATGCTGATAATTAAGATGCCCTTATATTTGTTAAATTAATGCGTACATATATTCCGAAGTGGCCAGTGGATTTATGATATTCTTATGTGGGCAAAAGAGAGTAAAACGCGCCCAATAATTCAGTGCTGAGTTACAGGAACACCAGAAAGTCAAAAATGTAAAATCAAAGAAATGTGATGGATTAAATCTAGTTTAGTTGGTTTGGGATGCTTCATCAAGTAACTTTCGTGATTAGTAAACTTTTGCATAGCATTCTTGTGTTTCTATTTTGAGCTTCGCCTGCTACTCCATTTTGTTATTCATTTTTCGAACCTAACCGATGAGTCCTTCACCCATATGGAATCCTAGTAATCACAATTGTCGGTGTACACCATGTCATCACAACTTTATGAGGAATGCACAAGATTTAAAATCATGGCCCTGCCTTCGAGAACATTCGGTGGTTCAAACGATGGCTGAATACTCCTTAATTTTGAACTGAACTTGCTTTAATCTGCCAAACAGTTATGTTGGTGTCCAGTTGTTTTATTCTTTGTAACCTGCGAAACATTAACGTTCTTTCTTTAAACTCATATCTTGTGTGCTTTAAATAATGATGTCTAATGCATCGAATAAATTGATGGATTTTTACGGGAAAACTCGGGCATGTTACAGCCTATGGTGAGGTGTATACATTGAATGCAATCCATCAAGAATGTTCACTCTCATCATTCGTATTCAGTTTTATCATAGGTGTTTTTGTCGAGGTCTCCCTGTCGTCATCTGGCATCAATTGATCTAACCACAGTAGAATGCACAGTTAACGTCGTTCTGTCACGTGAAGGTGCAGAGTCTTCCGGACACTATAAGTTGTAGTTTTTCACCACCCAGGGCAAATTGTAACTCCTGGAATGGTCTTCAGTTGTGCCTCGACTAACAGTAGAGTGAAGTAGGAGTGTGCGTTGAACACTTCACTTACCTGGGAAGTTGGATCAGCCTTGGTGACTCATTGGCCGGAGGAATGTCTACACGGATGTAAGCGGCTTGACAGCCTTTCTCAGACCTACACCATTTAGGGCCACAATATTCAACTGCCTATTAAGAGTCGTGTACTGTGAAACAGACACCTCTATTCTACCATTCACTTGTGAACCATGGCCATTCAAGGTAAAGAACATGAGGTTGCTGGTGTTTGACCACCATTGCCTTCTTAGCATTGGTTGTATGTCGTGGTATCATGTCAGTTACTCAGAAGTCAGGTGTAGAGTTTTCGCAAGTAGAGGAAAGTCGGTCGATGCAGCTGCGAACGTCCATCGACTTCAGTGGCTGGGATGTGTTACACATGTCTCGTCGCGCAATGATAGCTGAAGTATTTTCAGGCTGGAAAAAGACGAGGTGGTCAGACTAATAAATGGCATAACTGCATGAAGTCCTTGACTGTCGGTCTGAGCCATACAGGGAGATTCAGACTAACCGATTAGGGTCTACGTGACAACGGAAACCAGTTATTGAAGATCGAAGGCTATATGACTCGGAACCCATTTCATTGGCGCAGATATACTCACACCTTATCTTCTCCTTAAACGTTATGATAAATTCAGCACTTTCTCTTTCCTCTTTTGCTATTTTTTATTGGTTTTGACAGGCTTTCTTCATCTTTCAACTTATTGCTTTTTCCTTTGGCGTGCTGATGAGTTGTGGCAACTTGGACCGTTATATGGTAATACGTGGTCAAATGTTGACATTATTGATATGAGAGTGCACCGCGATGATACATTTCCTAGCTTGGTGGTCACATTACGATCGAATGATTTATGGAATTTGGTCAGCACTCAGAACTAGAAAAGGTAAAGTGGGTTACTTTCCAATGACCAATAATAATAGTAACGATAATAATAATAACTTTATTCCAAACAGGATTGTATGGAATCCTCAGCATGTAATAGTCCAACAAATTCATTCCCTGTACAATATCTTTCAGCGAAATAATCATTGCATTTAAATAGTGTTAATAATAACAGTAATTAAAGCCACAATCTGAAACAGGCACTTGGTGTTACACTAGCGTTTGATTTGGACTGGTAAAAAAATAAAAATATCCAACGTAATTTTAGTGGTACCAAAATCTACACTTCGAAGTAGTTATCCAAGGAATAATTATGTACTGTATTTCTGCGCATTGATAAACCCGTTTCTTACCGGCCTGTCGTTTACTCTTTGTTTTGTTGTTAGCTCGATAAACGGCAGTTTGAAACCATTTTAACAGTGTACTTGATGCAAATAAAAGACATATTTAAAAATGGAAACAAATTGAAAGGGAAAATTTGATGAAGTAAATCCGGTTTACATGTTCTGTTCTTTATTTTGGCAGCTTAGAGTTTGAACCAGTTTAGCGCCGAATGACCTCTGAACATATAGGAGTTGTTGATGCGCTTCCGTATTTTGATAAAGGATACGATGATCCTGGGATCAGAGAAGCTGCAGCCCTCTTAGTGGAAGAGGAAATGAAACGATATAGACCCACAAAAAACTATTTGGAGCACCTTCCTTCTTTATGTGGACCAATTCAAATGAAATTTGAAACTGAAGTAATGAAAGCTGAATTTGACAGGTTATCAAATCGTCTGCCCATGGAGATGCTAAGTATGAAACGTTACGAACTACCACCACCTCCTGCTGGAAAGATGACCGATGTGAAGGCATGGCAAGATGCAATGGAGAACGCTGAAGTAATGTGGTTTTTATTACTAATATATTCTTTAAATAGGCACAGTTGGAACATCAAGCAACAAGAATTGAAAACCTTGAACTGATGGCAGAATATGGCTGTAATGCTTGGAAGCAATACAATAATGTTTTAGAAAATTCTCTACAAATTTATGAAAAGGAGCTGCTAGAAATAAGGTGATTTTAAATGCATAACTGAATATAACCCATTGATGTAGGCGACTTGATTTCGATAATCTATGCCTTAGATACTTGTTCAGTGAAACAAGATTTATCACTGCATATTAATGCCAGGCTAGCGAGATACGTAAGTAGTAAACACAGACGATAAAACAGATATTGACTAGGTACTATAAGTGGAGTGTGGTCTACTCCTTTTGGTATGCTAAAAGGTTGAACGGAACAAAATAAGATAAACTTTGTTGTTGGTAATTCTGAAAGTCGAACCTTCCCAGACAGAGATTGTCACGTAAAAGTTGATCTATAAGAAAGTGTTTGTAGAATAAGTCTTCGTGCATGAAATTTAGAAATGTGCAGTATGCGTTTTGGGTATTAAGGCATTTTCCAAAAAGAACATCGCAGTTGTTTCTACTGATTCTCAATGCTTTTTTTCAAATGAAAAAGTTGAAACATAGTTCCAAGCCAGAAATCCCCTTTTAAAAGCACACTGAGTTTAGTAAAAGTATTTGATATCAAAACCATATACTGTCAGTCATGTGTCAGTTTTTAACAATCAGAACCTAGCGCAGAAGTACAAGGGTTCCCGTTGCCAACATGTACTACTGCACATAAAGTGTAAACCGGTAGTAGCGAAATACTGAATAAAAAATATAGCGAAAATAGGAGAAAAGAAATAAATTATGATTAGTACATGTAGAATCCCGAAAGTATGTGGATCTCAGTCAGGAAAACTATATTTCCTCACATAACCTAAACCAAAACTTCTGGACACCCTTAGGCTTTTAGTAACTTTATTCCCCTGGAGATAATGACGTGCATTAGGATAAATAGTGGCTCAGCTTGCATTAGTCTGTGGGGTTTCAAGAATTCACAAGCTGAATTACCGTACTTACTTGGTATCCTACATAGTAGTCCTACTAAGCGCAATCTATACTACAGAAATAACATTAGGTATTTAGTATGATTCACCAACTCAAAACAGCGTTTAATTTCAATTGACAAACTAGATTTTTGTGAACCTGCAAAGAATGCATCAGCAACTAGCGCATAATGCCTGAGGCAACACTGTCAATCACTTCAGCCCTCATTCCGAAACTGAGTACGAATGCAGATCAGGTCTGGAATATCACATAGCGCATGTGGAATCCTCACCAAATGTACTCGCTTTTCTATTCAAGGCATTTAAAAGATTCTCTATCTTATCAATTTTTGTGATCTACGTCATCATCAATATCAACCTAGGACCAGGCATTACTGCGTAACGGTCCGAGTTACCACAGCTCATATCAGTACATCAAGTAGAAAAGTAGTGAGGTGCAAGATGAAGGTAAGGAAATTCAGCCAAAAAAAGTATAAAGTACGAGAAGAAAGAAAGGAGGAATGACAAAATGGTAATAATCGGCATAATGTTAAGATGACGATAATGTGTGTATACATCTGCGCCACTGACATTGGTTCTGAGCCATATCACCTAGAGTCTCCAGCCACTGGTTCCCCTTGTCCCGCGGACCCCAACCGACTAGTCTGCATCGCTCAAACCAACAGTCATAGACTTCATGTACTGGTGCCATGTTTTAGTCTGGCCACCTCAGGCCTTTTTCCAGTCTGGGTCTACTTCGGCCAACATTGTGTGACTAGGCATACGTAGTACGTGTCCCAACCATCTCTATCGATGAAGGTTCATAACCTCGTCAACTGATTTATCTCTACTCCCTAAAACTACGCCTCAGCCTGACTTCTGCGTTACTCACATGGTGACACCACGGAATACGGCCTATACTACGAATGCAACGGTGGTCAAACGCTTCAAGCCTTCTCATGTCTTCCACGTTCAATGGCCATGTTTCACAACCATACAGCAGAACAGACCGGACTGCTGTGCAGTACAAACTAAAATCCTTCAAAGTCTCCCCCAGCCTACCCACTTGGTTCTTTTGAATAGATCTTCTATCTCACTTCACTTATTGATTTAACGTTAATAATTTAACCTATTTTACTTAATTTTCTGTTTATCTTGAAAGGCGAAAAATTCAGGAGATCAATTGGCGCCGTAAGCAAGAGCAAACGGCTGCTGGAAAACATCTAAAAGAATTAGAAGAAACTTGGGTTGCCTTGGTTGGGAAAAACTTTGAAATTGAGCAGGCTATCCTGGAATTAGAACAGGAATTAGGTGTTGCTCCTGAACCTATGGATAGTGAAAACCAGTAACACTGTTTATCGTTGTACATAATCACACGTTTTTTGAATATGAACAGTCTCAACATTTTAATTAGTCCTCTTTTTTGTTGCATTTACTTGGTTTCCGTGTTGTGTTATAAGGATATGTTGCGTGGCACTAGTACAAACTTTAATAGGATTTTCTGTTTCATAAAAACCGATCCATTGCATTTGGTAGCTGTAGTGGTATCGCTTTGGAGTTTGAGGTGAAGGTTTCTAAGCTCGACTCCAAATAAGAACACCATCTCTCAGCGAGTACCCAGTAGGATGAAGCTTACATTCACCTTTCCACTGTTAGTCACCATATCCAAAGTAAATTAATTATTTGTGTTTTTTCTAACAAAGACGATTTAAAACAATTAATTCCCTTTATAAACCTCGACAAAACAATAAGAAGACGTAAATTGTCTGAACCGTGTAATGTATTTGCGCAACACATTTCGAACTATCTGATCACACACGTACTTGTCATAGGTATTTATATAAAAACTCATGAAGATAAGGGGTGAGAAAATAAAAAGGGGTCAGGTAGGAAGGCTGACTTAAAGGCCGAATAACAATGAAAATCAATAGAGCGAAAAAATAATAGTACATCGAACTTGGTTTTTCAATAGTTGAATTTACCAAGGAAGGTTTAATGTGACAACAAATTGTTTATGAATACATAAAGGTGGTTTCAACTTCCTAATAGCTAAGGCTTCAACAAATTTCAGGATCCCTCCCCAACATGTTTTGTAAATAGGTGTAAAGGAAGTAGCCACATCAATCTTGTGACCTGTCTCAACGATATGTTTAGCGATCGAAGAACTTGGACGTCTGCTACCAACATTTATAGGTTCAGGTGATTTAATTTGCTTCTGAAGCCACTTTGGAATATGTTCCGAGGCCCTTACTTGCATGGATCTATTAGTCCTCCCTATGTATGTGTCACCACACGTACATTTGAATTGGTAGATACAATGGGATGTGACATTATCGTTCACATGCTGTGGGGGTTTGGGGGAATATAAGGGCTTCGTGGTTTCGATTACTCGAACCCTGGCTGCATAGTAAGTCCTTCTAACAGCAGCGTTAAGTCTCTGCTTAAGGATTGCACTCTGAGAGTCACCTTTGTACGGAAGGCTGATGAAGACATCCTTCTTTGGGACTGACTGCAGTTCTAGTTTTGACGCTCTGCTGATTTTGTTCTGCCTGATAAATGTTGATGGATAGTTATTTTCCAACAAAATATCGGTCAGTGTTCCTCTTTCATCTTCTAAAGTATCCTCGGTGCATATTCGTTGAATTCTGCTGAATAAGCACCTTACTAACGTTCGCTTGTACTGAACTGGGCAAAAGCTATGGTAATTCAGATATTGCCCTGTCCATGTAGGTTTTCTGTAGATAGATCGTTTTATGGATCCATCCTGCCTTCGACTAATTAATATATCTAGGAACGGCAAGCAGTCATCTTCCTCTCTTACACATGTCAAAGATATGCTGTTCTGTACTTCGTTCAGTCGGTTTAGAATTGAAGTAGCCTGATTTGAGTTTTCACAAATAATCAGGATATCGTCAACATATCTTCGATACAGATGGGCTTGGTCTATTAAGTTCTCGGCTAAGTTCTCAACGTGTGACATAAATATGTCGGCTAGGAGGGGACCTAAAGGACTTCCCATAGCGACACCATCAACCTGGCGGAAATGTTCGCCCTCAAAGGTGAATTTAATATTGTTTGTACATAAAAGTAACAGCTGTTTTAGGTGATCCAAAGTAATGGGTATCGGAAACTTATGCACAGAAATATAACCACATAAAATGTCAATTGTCTTGACCAAAGGGACATTGGTAAATAATGAGTTAACATCAAATGAACACATAAATTTACTCTTTATGTTGACATGCTCAAGGCATTTGATTACTTCAAATGTATCTTTTAAGGAATACTTACAAAATTGCTTCTTAATGGGATCCAATAACTCCACTAGCCACTGGGCAAGCTTATGCGTTGGCGACTTACACATTGACATTATGGGACGTAAGGGGTTGTTGGGTTTATGTACTTTGGGCAAACCGTAAAGATGTGGGAATCGGGATTCAGTTGGTTTCAGTAGGGCGAATTTTTGACTGGTAATGACGTTCATTTCGAGCAGTTTCACTAGATTAGCGGTCACAGTTCCCTGTAACAATTGTACGTCTTCTGAAGAACAATCCTTAGTGAATTTATTTTCATCTTCAAGAATCGATGACATTTTACACTTATATTCGATTTTATCCATGATCACGACACCTGAGCCTTTGTCAGGTCTGAGGATAATAATATCAGGGTTCTCTCGTAGTTCCTTCATAGCTCTGAAATGTTCAGAAGTTAGAATGCTTTTCTGGTTCTGATGGCTATCACAAAACTGGTGGGCGATATCCACCATCTTGGCTTTCAGCCATCCCTGGTCCTCAATTGAAGTTGGGACGAGAGGTTTCAACTGGTTGTATAGGTTTTCAAACTGTGCATGGGTAGCCAAATCTGATGACTGCTTTCGAGGAACACAAAATTTAAGTCCAAGGGATAGGGCTTCCTTCTGATAGGTGGACAGTGTCACTGTAGAAAGGTTAGTAACGTACTTATCCGGGTTAACAGGGAAATGGTTAATATGATTTTTACTGTCAAGTGAACTGGTTAGCTTCTGATGCATATTGGCTTTCGTTTTGAGAATGACATTACTACAAAATTGTAGGAATTTCAAACGACATATTATTGACAAATCCGATAGAATATTTGATACATTGATGTGGAGTAATGTGTTGCGCAAATATATTACACGGCTCAGACAATTTACGTCTTCTTATTGTTTTGTCGAAGTTTACAAAGGGAACTATTTGTTTTAAATTCTTGAAGGGAAGACTCCCTCCGCACACTATCAAAAGGTTAAATGAACTTGTTAACCTTAGGTGCAAAATTACCTCTGAACGCGAGAGAATTGGATTTTGCCAGTCATGTATTTCAGGTCATATGTTTCCCAGACAGTTTTACAAAACTTTGAAATCTAAATCTGCATGATATGCTTTTACTCACATTAAACCTTCCTTGGTAAATTCAACTATTGAAAAACCAAGTTCGATGTACTATTATTTTTTCGTTCTATTGATTTTCATTGTTATTCGGCCTTTAAGTCAGCCTTCCTACCTGGCCCCTTTTTTATTTTCTCACCCCTTATCTTCATGAGTTTTTATCCAAATACCTATGACAAGTACGTGTGTGATCAGATAGTCCGAAATGTGTTGCGCACATACATTACACGGTCCAGACAATTTACGTCTTCTTATTGTTTTGTCGAAAAACGAGTCCTTATTATTTGTATATTCCAATCTAAACGCGTTACCGTATAAGTATGAAGAATAACATCACATAAAATAATGTGAAGACATCATGCAGATGGAAGAGGAGGGAAAGCCTGATTATCGAACTCCTCATAAAATGGAGTATTTAGAAAACCGTCATCATTATTGTATTATCCATCGGAAACCGAAGACAGTATGTTTCGGCGGTACAACTAACACTGGTTTCAATTCTTTACCACATCTGAAAGTATTTCAAGTCCCGTGGCCTTCTGAATCTAATGCAGAAAATTACAATGCTTCGACAGGTTCTAACTCGACATAGCCGTTTTATTCAACGATACCGCCTCATATGCTTCGCTTCTGAAGTCGAGCCCCAGACAGTAACGACAACCATTAAAGTAGATAGGATGGTCAGGCGCTAGCTGTCAGCTCGAGTGGATATAATGAGATAAATGTTTCATGTTCTAATGTGACTGCAGGTTGTAATTATTTGTGACGACCTCGTCACTGATGCGCCATCATCGTAGTGTATTCTGATTGAACTTATGACCGACATTATATGTAGGTTTATTGCGCCAAGAATCAGTTCACGAGGTATATCAAAACATCTATCGTAGCTGTACTTTAGCATATGTACTTCTTAAACAAATATACGTGTTCAAGTGATTAGTTCACTATGGCTGAATAATATTTGATGTTGCTTTACTTTTGTCTATGTAACTGCAGACTATAGGTGACCACGAAGGCTACCCTAAGTAATACTGAAATAACTAATTGGCTTTCTATATTCTTTGAAACAACTACTATCCAAAACTAAAACTAGGAAGTGTTGTAATCTGAGATGTGACTAACTACTTTACGCTATGGATCTACGGCCCCGTGGCACCTACTTTGGTTTAGGCCACTGAAATTTTCATCAGGATCGGGATTCATACAAGTGTAGAACTTGAGCACTACTGTAGAGAATAATTACACGTATTAGTTTATTGGGTACAGCACAATGGAATTACAGGCCATAGAATCCTATAGAGCCTATTGGAAATAATAATCTAATTGTAGAATTCTGCTCAACGACTGTGACGTCAGCGTATTCGGCTGGAATCTATTCGAGTAAAAGAGTGCAGAAAATTTGCCGAATGTGAAGCACCGTATTCTCAATCATGTTGACGGTATGGATTATCGAGTTAGGAATAAATACTGCACAGAGGCTACATGCTTTAAGCAAACTTCGCTTTGATTTACGTGCAAAATTTGAGGATTATATCAACGGCATAATTACGAGCAGGTCAAATACTGCAAATCCTAAATAAATAAGGTTCTCCAAACCAATTGAATTTCAAGGAAGACCCCAAAACCATATAGATAAATGTGTATTTAATCATTCTCCAAAGAATCTCTCTACAACCAACTTGAGGTATCATCTTCTGGACTGAAGTTCTGTATCTTGCATACAAATGCTAACATGCTTCGTAATCAAATGCAGTATGGGAATTCGATCAGCCAGACAAGTGGTCTTTTATATCAGCGACATTAGAGGGTTTTAATCATTTCAAATCAACTTTACCCAATTGCGTACAAAGAGAGGACAGCAAGCTCTACTATTCTTTCCACTCCTCGCTGTGTCGCTAAGTTTCACAGCGCATAAAAAACTGTCACCTGGGATCCAGTTAAACAGTGCACTTTCTGTCCTAGCACTAGGCATTACATCGAATCTCCACAAACTCGAAGGGTGAATTTCGCAGATTTACCATATCGACTAGGTGAGGTTAAGCTAACTTGGGTACTGTATAGGTAGGTGTCTCACAAACAGCGCATATCCGTGGCCCGAGATTCCAGGGCTCTGGTTAGCTAAGACTGTTGGCCAATTTGACGGAGGGTCCGGACATTGAGAGCTGAAATGTGCAGTTTCACGAGACCAAAGATGCTGTTCTATGAACTCAGATCGTTGTCGAGAGCTCGGAGAAACTAAAGACGATGTAGAAATGTTGACAGAGAAAAGCGGAGGAAGATTAGAAGGTAAGAACAGGGGAGGTGAACATCAATCTGAAGGAACTTGAAGGTTGTGAGGGCAGCTGACAGGGTTGGTGAATAACTGGAGAACCAAAGGGACATTTGCTTAAGACCGGCCTTTTTACAAGTTTTAGATTTCGGTTTGTTGGGTTCGAACCCGACTGTGAACCCGTTTTACAGGTATCGGCATACCACGAGGTGATGAGTGTGTTATTTTTGGAGTTGACCTTTCTTAACCCCCTCTTTACATAGGGAAGGTAGCACCAACGTGGCACTGCTGATTGTCCAAGGGAAACACCTTACTGCTATTACACTCGCATCCAATCGGCAGTATGTGTTCGCCCTCAGACCCCTATCATAGTGCGGCAGCTAGCACTAGAACGGTATCTGCTTTTTGTTTTACCGCTATCCAGCAGACCTTTCTGGTATGGTAGAACCCCGAGGGACTAGCGTTTGAGCCAATATAGTTCGTTGGGTCATTGTAATATGCAGGCCCGACCACCATGTCAATGTAGGAGCTATCGGTCAGGAAACCCATCTGTATTAAGGGGATAGTACGCATTGTGCATTAAGCCTATCACAAGAAGTTAATTCTTGCGGTAATGATGCTAGTGTCAGTCATGTTACCGGATTGCTTATTGACGGTTACTCTTTGAGGTAAATGCAGATTTTACCAAACACATTTTTCAGCTAATTTTGTAGAGAACACAGACAAAACGAATTCGCTTAGTACCTGAATTAGTACAGATCATCTGCTGACCACTAGTGGAATTTTTATAAGGTTTCTGCGTGCTCAGTTAACGTTCGCAAAAGCATAGTATTTATACTGCTGACGAAATCACCTTTCAATCAAGAAGTGCACACGGGCAACGTATAACTCTGATACATGGCCGTTTATTGTGGATGACACGAAATTCCCCCCCCCCCCCCCCAAGAACTTGATTGTTATACGCGTCGTATCAACGCTAGCAATAGAACAACTAACTGATATCTATCAAAGCTGGTCGGCATGGAGAGACAGTTCACTGGTGGAAAAATGAATCCGCAAAGACTGAAGTAGTTTAAACACAAGCTTCCCAGTCACTGCGCAAATCACTTGAAAAGTTGGAGAGATTACGACGGGAAAGTGCTGAGATTGTTCCTACAAGAGTTACCAACCGTATAAAAAAAATCACTGATACCGTCAGACTTACTTATATACTAGGCTCCTAGTGAAAACAATAACTGGTATGCTGCTAAGCGTTGTCTTTTAAGAAGTTTCAATTCAGAGAATAGCCCCATTGGATTTAGCATATGCTGAATCAAATCTACGTAGCTATTACAACTCCAAAGTAGTGATCAGAACACTTCCAAGAAAACTGCACTTATACACGCAAGAAGTAAAACATGAAACATGGTGAAATTACGGATTATTAGCTTGTCTGTTTAGTTCGGATTTCAAAGAGTACTACTCACCCAATTTTCAGCTTATTTTAGTCTACTATGCCAGACTTTGATACTAATATTTAAGAAGCACAAAAGTTCTGAACAGTAAGATTATCAACTTTACTGTGTATGCTAACGAACAATTTGAGCATTATTATAAACAGAAAATGATAATACAGTGAAGTTAACAATATACACGGAAATGCACGATTTTTGCACAGAAAGTTGATGCAATTGTTGAAAAGAATATTACATGTATTGAAAATGAATGTACACAAAAGGTGTAGTATGTGATACTTTGTTGAAAGACTTAGTATAGATAATATACAAAAGGAGATCATTGAAAGGAATTTAGTTGTATTGAGATACTCAAGTTGAAGATAAACTATTTCGAAAAGAGTGTTAAGTTGATTCCGAAACAAACTTTGCGAAGTTCTCTTCAGTTTTTTCGGATATATTAATACCACGAAATCCTAATTTTTTTGCACGTTTTTGGCGTTTAAGAACTTGTTTACGCGTTATGGATAAACTAGCTGTGGATCTAGTGGAGCGACACCAGGAGCTGTAGGAGTACATGCTTCTTCAAGTGTTTGTCCTGTAAAAATTTGGCGTCTTATAGGAGAGTGTTCAGCACGCCTGTAAAATCTAGGTCGACGCTGATTTCTGTCAACAGAGTGTTCAATTACTGTGGCTAATCCTTTTGTTTAGGAGGAATGTATATTTTAGGAAGGTAAAAGTCTGAAACAGATGTTGGACTTCGATATGATGGTGTGACATTCTCTGATTTATTTGGTGATAAAACAGGTAGATTATTGGATGAAAACACCGTATTACATGTCTCTAAATTAATATCCCTCACTGACATGTCACATTCGATTTGAGAAGTTGGCTGAGGAATGTTAGATGTCCTGTTATCAGTATTCAACTGAAAAGAAAATAATAATTGAACTACTAATTAGCAGTGGATAAAAAAGATGGATTTAGGTATCAAGAAATAGGAATATGAATTTACTTGCACATGACACATTCAAATCAAATTTAAAGAGGCGAGAAAGGACAAATTTAGCAAAACAACCACACAAGTTTAATACATCGATTTTCTATGACTCAACAACCATATGTAATAAGAAATAAGCCACATCAATTGTGTGATGCCTACAGTACTCTTAGGTTGCAACAGCCTCGGTAAGCTAAGTGGGGTTCGAACTTGCAACCAAATGGCTCATAGTCAACTACTTAGATTAATGTGTTAGAGCTCCGTTTTATGTTTTACGAAGTTATTTGGAATAAAGTGATTATTCTCATTAATTAAACTCAATGAATTTCAAAATAAAGTATGAAAAGAGGGGGACATTTAAACGACTGAAAATTTCCACTAAATGACGTTTCATATAAAACGGTGAAACCAAAAATATGTTTTACAAAAAAAGGTAATAGTATCAGATTCCTATTTAGTATCTCGACGGTGATGTGCTAGCCTCTACACCTGAAGGTTCTGGGTTCGACACCCAGTGGGGTTCTGGGTGTGAACTCCTGAAGTGTATCATATTAGGACGAAACAACTGTCTAGTGCTACCAATTTTTAGTGGTTCTTCAGCTGATTTCAATCATCGATGAATGCAACCTTGAAAAATTAAATAGAAGACATAGGGCGACAACGACCTTCCTTACACGACGACATACACAAAAACTACCGACTCATTTTCTGTATACAACAGTATTTCCATAGTTATGTACTAAAAGTGATTAGGTAGTTAGATAAAATAATATACAGTCTCATAGGAATTTGCAGTGTTTCAAACGGTTACACTTCGCAATAGCACAGAAAGAGGAAACGAACGGTTAACCTACGCAGCATTGAAAGCAGGTAGGAAATTTGTTTACTAAAGAAACTCGAAAAAAATAGTTGTAATAAATTAACTCGTTCCTCTCATGTCATTTTTGTTTATTTTAATATATTCGTGTTTCACTTGACTTCTATGGTGTGCTGTTATGAATTTCGATAATTCAGTCTGTATCGTGTTGGCTAGGTGATTCTCGGTTAATCTATTTATTTGACTATTTTCATTATTTTGTTAGTAGTATGTTATTAGTATGGATTGCAGCGACAGAATTTAATCTTACAAGCCTTTCCTAAATTGTCACTTTTGTGAAGATACCTGGTAAATCCACGTATACTCTAATCTAAGCCTAAGCTAGTAAATTACTTTGGATATCTGCTACTATGAGTATCTCAATACTCTAAATGATCATTCAAACAGCATTTTTATCTTCAGAACTACACAGTGACATAGTAAAGATTTCGCAAAGATTAAAGTCAAGAAGGTAAAGAATAATAGTGAATAACCTTTTATATGTGGAGATCAGATGACCAGAAAGAATAAGCAACAAGGAACTCCGGTCTGGTAACGAACCAATCAAGAACCTATCACCCAACAAATATGTAGAAGAAAGTAGAGATGGATTGGACATACACTGAGATGGTTTGGCGACATTACGCGCCAGGTCGTCGAGTGGAAGTCAAAGGGAAACGACGAGTTGAGCGCCCCAGCTGAGGGTGATATGGAGATCGTGTGAGGAAGAAATGAAAGCTTATGGGCAGTCGTGGAACCAGGTTAAAAAGACTACAGAGAACAGAGTGAAATGGCGAAGTGCTACTGAAGCCCTGTGTTCCACTAGGAACCCAAGGGACAAATAATAATAATAAAATATATGCAGAGATGCATGAGTTTATTTCTTTCTCTAAGCTATACAGGTATATAACTGTGTAACCTGAGAACTTTATCAGAAAGAATATTGTCTGTCCAATAAAGAGATAATTTGTTAAAAGTACTATGAATTTACTTGTTTTTGTTGACATCGTAATGATTTCCTTCGAGATGTACTAGACCGGCTGAAAAGTTCTTTATGGGATGGACTTTCAAATTCTGAGGTACAAAGAGATTTATGCTGAAGTCTTCTGGACCGTCTGAGTCCTTGATCTGAATTAAAATCTACTGGTGGGGATTCAATGATGTTCGTTATATCTACTAGTCCCACAAGGGTACTCCTTCGACGCTTACGTTCTCTACAAAAAAGATGGAAGACCAATAATAATAAGGTTAAAGACAATTTGAAGCGAATACCTATTTTCAGTAAATTCTCGTCAGGCTTTACAATTACATTTATGGATTACTCAGCATAGTCATTTGATAAAAACATGGTAGAATTAATTCGGGTATCTGAATGAGAGGATAACAATAAAAGCGATAATAACAGAAACAAAGTCTTGGAAAGTTTATATATTCTCAGTAGTCAATTCATGTAGGTATGAGTGAATTGTGTGTGTGTGTGTGTGCAGGGATATAAGGGAATAAAATTATTGTCGCAGAGCGATTAGATAATAAGATGTTAAAATTCTTAATTAATTATGAAACTAAGAGTGAAATATGAAATAATGATAAGAGTACAAACAGAGATAACATTTACATTTATCCGGGTGACCAGAATGGAAATTATTGTAATTGTGTCTGGGTTGAAGGCCATGAGAGGGAAAGGGAACGAGCACTTTCTGAATACACAAATTAGGTTTGAAGATTTTAATTGCTATGGCCTTTGCTAGGCTTAGCAACTGGAGGCGCGCAAACTTAGAGTAATGTGATAGCACTTTGTAAATAATAGTTAATGGTCAGGTTTTGTCAATTTTGTGCTCAGTATCTGCCAGATGGGTGAGTATTGAGCTTTTGGTGGATTTTACTGTTCCTTTGCTTACCCATGCTGGACAGTATTCAATGAGGCGATGTTGGGCTTGCTGAGTTGTCCTACCCATGTAACTATCTTCACAGGAGAAGTTAAATTTATAAATGCACACAGATATGAAAGCGTACCCTTTAACTGTATTGAAGAGTAGTAGTAGTAGTAGTAGTAAATTTCAAACACAGTATGACGGCCAAAAACACTTTTTTTTATCAGATTACTGGGTTGTTATCAGTGTTTCTGCAGCTGTATTTCCTAAGTATAATCGTTTCTTCGGTGCCATCGGGAGGCATTTTTCTACAGCTGTTTTCATTGTCACAACCCTCACGAACTTTTCACGATAGCCATTCTCATATAAGGAGTATTCTGTTATTCTAATTTTATCGTTCAAAGTGTTAGCTGCGCGGATCTGACTGGCTCGAAACAACAGTGTTCGGAATAAATTCCTATGCACGTAAGAGGAACAAGTGGTCGCAGACGTGTATGCTGAAGGACCCGTGATTTTGTACGATATATACTACGTCTGATACTGCCATCTTTTCGTCTTAATACCAAGACATCCAGAAACGGTAGATATCCGTCTTTCTCTGTTTCACATGTGAACTGCATTTCTGGGTTAGTACTGCTGAATGTGCTGAGAAGAATGTCAGGATCAGTATCATTTTTGTCTGTAATGAGTCTCATCCATGTATCTGCAATAGAAGGACAGTTTCCAATTTTGCCATAAACATATCGGCTAGAAGAGGACCTAATGGTGAATCCATTGCTACACCTATCTCACCGTAAATTCCTTTGATAAACTGAAATACAACATCCATCGTACAACTAAGAAGCAGCTCTCGTAGGGTTGCAAGTGGTATACCTACCTCCATAAACTTTCCGAGATTTTGTTTTTGTTATTATCGCCTTTATTGTTATCCTCTCATTCATATACTCGAATTTGATCAACCATGTTGGTATTAAATGACTATGCTGGATTTGTCGGTGTAATTGTAAATCCTGAGGAGAATTCACTGAAAATACATGTTCACTTCAAACTGCTTTTTAATTACCGCGAGAATATTTAAAATAATAAAGTTGCTGGTTAGAGTCCTGCCACAAACTAATTTTGGTTTCTACTTCGATAATTATCCCTTTTCATATTATGATTCGTCCACCGAAACCATGACCCAGACAGCCCTATCAACAATAAACATTCTCCAGCACTATATGACTACTTAATTAGGGCTGTTAAGTTTGTTTTTTTTAAATAACGAAAATAGAATATACTGGGTTGATTTACCTATTATTATATTGACTGGAATTTGAATAGTGCATAATTCAATGTGTTTTGAAAATTAGGTACGCCTCACGACTATTTCGACATACGAACAAGGAATTTTGCTTCAAATATTCACATCGAGGCAACAGTTTCACTATATGTATGGATTTGAGGTAGTTTGATTATGTATTTCGAAAATGGAAGACTTAAAAGAAGTCTGTTCAAATTAAAACCTGACTATTCTTAGCAACTTAATTTGTCAAAGTTTTGAGATAAAGCCGTCACGGACAAAACCAAAAAACGAACATTTTGAGAACTCATCAGTAGGAGAATCATATCAACGGCTCCCAACAACAGTAACACCACATAAAGTCATTCTTAAAAGGATATGAAGAGTAGACGTCACGACTAAACGTGCATGAACTTGAAAGCGAACTTTTCAGTTTTCTTTTGATTCAAAACAGATGTTTGTTTCACAGGATTAGACCTGAGACTAGTATCTTCAAGTCAGTGTATGCTAGTGGTTTAAACCCATAACTAAGGTGGTAGCCATCCACTGATCTCCGATGCTAACCAAAAACCTAACGCTTATCAGTGTTTGTCATGCAAACATAAAGCTTGTTATACTGAAGTTTAGCACTCGCGAGAAAATCGCTTCTAAACCACACTCGTGGCATTCGGTTGTCATAAATGAGACTCACGACTTTAAAAGCAGCAGGAAAATTTCTATCTGATTCAGCGGTTCTCCTAGTGTACTGAAGTAGGTTACGGTGATTACACTGGCATACCTCGGTAGAACTCATGTTCACTTCGTACAAAATACAGATGGTAGGTTTGAGTTTTCTGGCAACCTTGAGTAGCAAATCAGAAATATTCGGAATGCATTTCTTGCCTCCCAAATGCAAATTCTTACTCGAGTAATATTCTTTGCTAATGCCTTTCTTAACAATAGGCAGTGAAGTGGTTGAGAATGGTGACCATTTTCATCTACATGGGAAGTTGAATAACTCCAGCAAAACCTCGAAATGGATACAAAAGGGTTGCTTGCCTTTAGCCAAATACCATTTACTATCATATCTGGCTATATATTAAGGCCTCATCGAGTTGATAAAAATACCTAGAGGTTGTGAAGACGGCAGTTTCCGTAAAACTCATAAGAAGGCGTATGTTAAGCATTGAAGACGAAAAAGCGTCAAGCTAGTAATGCATGTAAGATTATTGGTACTAGAGGTCACGTCCCAACCTGCAAAACCTTTCAACAAACTTTTAGTGCTTTCATCACAAATCAAAAAATATTACAAGAGCACTACTCAATTTCTGGAAAGTCCCGATGCACTTAGAAAGTTCGGAAGTACATTTGAATTGCAGGTTTCGGGTGATGGTCATTTGACCAATTCAAAGAGTTTCACTTAAAGTTATCTAACCCATATGGACTTAACCATAAATTGTTGTTAATGTACGTTAACGCTTTTGATGCACCTTTAGCTATGCTATTCAATACGTAAATGTCTCAGGTATAACTAACTCCCTAAGGGTTGGAAGGATGCTATGGTTAGTACTGTAAAAGTAATAAACAAACAGTAACTAGCTACTAACCAGTCAATCTGGTATTGCCGTTAAGGTAATGGAGATAACACCATATAAATCATTAAAACATTAGTAGGCACATAATCTACTAACATAAAAGCAACAAGATTTTCAGGTTGGACGTTTCTGCCTGACAAATCTACTCCTAATTAGAGGTCAAAGTTACTGAATATTAACTTGCTATGGACGTTGAGTTCATTGATTTGGTTAAAACCTTTGATAAAGTATTGCGTACAAGAATAGTGAAGCTTTCTAAATTTTGTATCAACAATAAGGTACAGGTGTGAATGAGGGGATACTCACACAGGATGAGACAGAGAAGCAAGGTAAACGAAATACTATCTGAATGAAAACTGTTATCAGGACACTAATTTAAGACCTGTCTTCTTCAATTACCTTTAAGTCACTTACACCGCCGACGTCAAGGTTGGGCGGAAAAGATTGTACGTGATAACTGGTTCGCATACCAAACTGACCTCATTAAACTAAAGGAATGGTTCATGTAATACAGCCTAAAAATTAGTTTCAGCGAATGTGAGTAAAAATACTGGGCATACCAGTGAAAAATATCTTAAGGATGACCTGCCCGCACCTCGGGTTTTGAAGAAAGACTTGGAAGCTATCGTGAGTCACGATCACGGCAACCTGTAATGCTCCTGCAGCTGAAGCATGTCTTATGTTTTGAATTAATGGTAGATCAATTTGATGCGTTAAAGACATGTTTATAACTTTATAACTAACGTATGGAGGGGGTTGTCCAGAGTAGTGTATCTAAGCGGCTACTTCACACTGCGTAAGAAAAGCCGATACACTAAAACGTCTCCAAGAGGTACATATCAAGTGAGAGGCCTTGTAGACCTTCAGTAGGAACAGCGATTAGCAAGTCTGCCCTATTGAAGGAAAAACGGCGACCTAATATTGCCATTCGGTACTCTGAAGCACGATCTATGTATTGATTTATCTCGTCTCTTTACACCGTGATCGCCCTACAAATCAGATAAATGACCAAAAGCCAAGGTTACATTATTTTCCGGGATGCCAGTTTTCCCAGTAATCAATTGTTACCCAAATATGTTGTATTAACTCGTCGATGAATGTATTCATGTAGGAAAGTGAATTTTCGTATAAGTAACTGCTGCAAGGACCAAGACAAGCTGTTTGACTAGTCATCCTTATCACGACTGAATTAAACGTTAGTGACTAGTAACAATAATAGTAATAATAATTTATACACACATTTGAGATGGGATGGCATACACGACTATAGTGTGTCAGAAAGTTATGTAAATGTCTAGCTTTAACGTATACACTTTCCCAAGAGAAAATTCTGAAGAATATCAAATGGAAAGAATCTTTATGTATCACAATCGTTCAGGTTACGAGACAGTAGGCTGCACAATAAATTGCACACGTTGTTAAAGTATTTGACAGTATCCCACCCACAGTCTTGCCTCACAAGATCATGTCAGCCAGCGTAAGTGAACCTCTTTTCTCTTGGTTCAAAGCTCACCTAGAAGGCAAACAACTCGGCATCAAGGTAAACGGAATACAGTCGGAGTGGAGACCATCGACGTCAGAGATATCTCAAGGAGCAGTTCTGGGACCACTTCTGTCCCCCCTAGTCGTCAGCAACTTGCCACACAAAGTTTCCTCATCCATCTCCCTCTTCCGCGGTGTCAAAATTTGTAGGGTAGTAAACGGAGGCCAAGTGCACAACAGTCCAAGATGACCTGCAGCTACTAGAACTCTGAATGTCGGAAAACGGCTTGAGCTCCAACGTAGAAAAGTGCAAAGGAATGCACACCAGCACCAACAAAGCGATGATCACGAAATTCCAATACAAGTTGAGTAATCATGCTATCATCAGTGTTCACGGAGGAAGATTTGGCGCTCAACTCCTCGAACATCCTGAGCACTAGCTCGGACCACGGAGAATTGGCAGCCAGAGCGAACACTACCTTACACTTTATACGTAGCAGCTTGGTGCTCCACCCTGAACTGTTTCTCATGGTTTTCAAATCCTGCGTACGACCGCATCTGGAAGTCTTCAGTCCGGCAGCAGACCCAACACACGAGACAGACTCCAATTTTCTTGTGCAAATACAACGACCAGCAACAAAATCGGTTGTGGAACTAAGACAGGAGGCATATTTTATGGATGGTGGCTATAGTAGGCAAGTACCATGAGTCAAGTAAGAATTGAGTAACATAGGGGTCAGCTCTTCAGAAGAGCACTGACTCCTGGTCTTAACATGATCTGCACTTGACAAATGCCTACAGAAATACTTCGAATGAATTCTAAACACTTTTCTCTCAACGGAGTGCAAGAAAAAATTATACTATCTGACCGTGAACTGAAGTGCTGTGTATTAGTAAACACAACTTCAATATACTTTTTGAACTGCACACTATCAGTCGGATCTTAAATACTAACCTCATCGACTTATACGGTGCTGCAGAATGCCGTCGGATTGCGAGTCGCCAGGACACCTGACCTCCAATATGCAACTTCGCGCGAGTGAGACAAGAGGTTAAATAGTTTCAGTTATCAGTTCAAACTTCGTGTTGTAGAATTAGTAAACGGGGTTCCTTGGGTCCCACATCTGTCTTATTGGAATGCTTTCTGAGTTTGAAATGGTCACAGTTATCTTCGCGGTTCTGAAAAACCTGAAAGGATGGAGATACGATTATTAATTAATCTGGTCTCAAGGTACTATCACTACATTTGGTCTGGGTAAAACTTTTCGAGTACAGCCCATTGGCGCCGTGGGACTCGAGGTGGGCTTCTTATCTCCTTTTGAAGTTTCAGGGGATGGGGCTATAACAACTGCTGAAGGGAGGGAATTCCACAGTTTAGAGACTCTAACTGCAAATCAGTTAGCATGGATCTTTGTACGTGCTCTCTAATGCTCTATTCTTAACGGGTGACCCCTCAGGTCGAATCTCCGACTAAAACTTAGAAGTGATCTGTTAAGATGCGGTGGATTACGGGCGATGTGGTACATCATGATCATATCCCCTCTGACCCTTCGGTATTGTACTGGGTGCAGCTGAAGAGCAACTAAGCGGTCTGGGTACGGTTTGTGCCGTTGCCCAATCACTTTCTTCGTAGCACTTCTCTGTGCCCTTTCTAGGGTGGCTATTTCCTTTTCCAAGTATGGGGATATCACTGGCGAATTTTTTTCCCGATTAGGGCGAATGTACAGAGCATACAGTGTGGTGAAAAGAGGAGTTAGACACCCTAAAGTTGGCGAGAGAAACCCCAGGGTTCCATTAGCCCTATTGTCTGCAAGGAGACAGTGGACTGAGGCTCCTATTGTATCGTTTAGTGTAACTCCCAGATCGTGTTCCATGTTAGAGTGACAGATGTTTATTTCACCCAAAGAGTATGAACTGGGACTGCCTTTATGTTTGTCAACTATCATAATTCGACACTTCTTCGAGTTGAGAGGAAGCAGGTTTTCTGTAGTCCAATTAAGGATTTTCTTTAGGTCCTCCTAGGAGATCGAAATATCACTTGCCTCCTGTATTTCCTTTCAAACCTTCAGATCATCGGCATATGATAGTGAATGTGAATTAAGGATCCCTGGTAGGTCACTGATGAAAGCAGGAAACAGTAGTGGGCCCAGTGTTGAACCTCAAGACACCATTCAGCATCGGGGACCAATTAGACAGAGAGGAGCCAACTCTCACTGACTGCACCCTGGTGTACAGCTAATCCCTAAGCCGAATTAATAACTTTCCGCGCAGACTCGTGAGCTGGAGTTTCTTACAAAGGATATAATGATTTACTCTGTCAAAGGCATTGGAAAGGTCAAGTACACCGATATGAATAGGCTTTTTCTGCTAGACAGAGAGTGTCCAGTGATTCCAAGCTATCAACAAGTTGGTGTTACATGACCTTCCTGGCAGAAAGCCATTCTGACAGTCGTTTAGGATTGGCTTCTGAAGTAAGTGATCGCGAAGTGAGTCATTCGTGACTCTCTCCATGACCTTCGCAACCGAAGAGATCAGGAAGGTCGGTCTGTAGTTGGAGGTGAGTAGTCTGTTTCCATGTTTATAAATCGGGAAGACAGCCACCCGCTTCCAGGACCCAGCATCTGGAGAGATTTTCTATTGGGGCGGACAGAACTTCAGCACACTCTGAGTGCCGTTGGGTGAATCGCGTCAGTTCCTGGGGACTTATTCGGGTTCAGTTTCTTTAGAATTTCCATAATTATATAGGGTTCAAACTCTACATGGTTTGGCCCCTTCGTGATACAGGTGTCCGACAGATGCGTGGTTTTGCCTCCCAAATGACAGAAGTTGTTTTGGAATTCACAAGCTAGTAGGTTTGCTACTTAGCTGCTAGAATGGAGAATCTCTAAACTAATGAGGTCCTGTAAACTAAGTGGACTTTTACTCTTCCGTTTCGTCAGCGAGTACAGTGTCCCATGATTCCCCTCCGGAGTTCTACAAAGTTGTGTCCGATGGTTTATTCTGTCATTTCTGACTCCTACTGTACATCTGTTACGGGTGTCTTTATAACCTAGCCAGTCATGGGGCTATTAGTGCACCTCACAGATTCTAAGGTGACCGTCTACGCAATATCAGTTTGCAGGTGCTTGACTAAAGCCAGGAGGAGTAGAACTCGTTGGTTCTCCTCAGACTCAGAGGATTGTTATTTTTTGTCGTCTAGAGGATTGTATTCTTCAAAAGATCCCATCTGGCATCAATAATAATAATATTTATTCCTGAATATACAGGCACACCACTTTTACGGGTATGAATAAGTTTATATACAAATTACACTCATCTTCATGGAAGTTAATCTGAACCCCTGCCAGATGTCACTAGAAGATATAAGTGCTGCATGTTCACATAATGGAACATCCCAGCAGAATAAGTGTGCAGGAAATTTACAAGTTGGACAAATGGAAGTATTGTCTTGGCATTACCAAGAAAACCACTTTTGCATCTAGGCATTACAGGTGTTACCTGGGGAAAAATAAAGCTTGAAGCTATTACTTCCATTGTAACAGTTTGTACCTTTTGCTTCAGATAATGGTGAAAAGTTTATGAAGGAATGTATGCACAAATTGTTTATATATTCTACTTCATTGATGCATCCAGGACTGTACAGTTCATCCATGTTAACACCATTCCACAACAAAGATTCATAATCCTGATGAATATTATGACTGAAAGCCAAATGTCTTCACTTTTCCAACTCCAGCATCCAGAAGCAATAGGCTTGTTTGGATGCACTAAATGGACTCCCAGAACATCTTGTCCTTCGTTTTCACAGGTCGTGACAACCTTGCAGTGTTGGACTTTTCTGGTTACTTTTATAATGAGTTAATCCTGGATTTCGATAATTATGAAGTTGTAGTCCAGTGAACATCTTTTATTTCTGCTTGTTGTAGTTAGGTATTCTGAATTTGGTAAAGCTGGTTACCCTCCATGAAGGGTAGTTTCAGCCATGGTCTGTTCCTGTAATTAATTCTCGATGGCAACAAATCCAGCGTTTAGAACTGAATTGTTTCTCTACAGCGAGAAAAAACGGACAAAGCAGCAGGCGGAGAAAGCGAGAATTTCAACAAGGAGAGTGTTTTCTATGTTCATGTTTCTCCCCACTTAACTTCCCTTGCTATGGCTTTCATTGTATATCTTCTTTCTGTAGAGTATTTAAAGATATAAATTTCATGCTGTCATGTGGTGTAGGATTTCTGTTTTTTCATACCGTGTTGGGTGGGGCAGAATGCGCCGTTAGTTTGGGGTGGTAACTTAAGGAAGTTTCCTCAACGCTTCGGATGGAAGGTCGGTGTAGGTGTGGTGGCTCTCACTATACATTAGGAGAGCCGAGTATATGAAGTGTCGTGAAGGAGACTGTTGGTACATTCGATAAGCCGTAGAAGTCACCAGATGGTCAGAAGTCAGCCAGTAACCGACCAAATTCAGAGGTTGATTTGGGGGCCTTCAGTTTAGCTGGGAGTCTGTTCCACAACTGAGAGAATTTGACAGCAAAGAAGTTTGCGTGCAAGCAGAACTTGAACGATTTCACTGTGACTCTATGGGCGTGGTTGCGCAGATCGTAACAACTGTTGTGTTCAAAGTGAAAGTCACCACTGATTGTGAACGTGTGTTTATGTAACAATAAAGAGTAGTGTCAGGTTAATTTTGAGTCGTCTCATCCAAAGTGTTTCAAGACTTGGTGTTCTGCATCTGGAGCTGTAGTCCTGTTTGCAGTCGTGTCCCAGTAATCTAGCTGTGAAATACCTTTGGAATCCCTCTATTTTATGTTTGTCTATTATGTGGATACCACCCAGTACAAATGGACAGTATTCTAACAGTGGACGTGCACAAGTTTTGTAGGGTAGCAACTTGACTTCTTTGAAGTGGAAGTTACGAACTACGCAACCCATCAGGATCCTAGATTTGCGAGTCTGTGATGCCACCTGTTCAGAAAATTTGAGGTCCCTTAAATATCTTAGTCCAAGGTCACATACACTTTTAAGAATAGGAAGTTGTGTAGACTGAAGATCTAGTTGGACATCCACCGATGGAGCACCAAAACGCATCCAGCCACATTTGCCTATATTGAACTGAAGTTTCCAAGTAGTATACCATGTGGGTATTATATCGAGCTCCCTTTGTATTAGTGCTTGGGAGTGGGATAAATTATCACGGGTGCGTGCGTATGCAACGTTTGGGTCATCAGCAAACAAGAATGGCTTACCGTATGTAAAGTAGCTGCAGATGTCATTGACGTATGAAGCAAGGAGAAGGAGACCTGATACACTGCCTTGAACTACACCAGATGTGATAATAATCAAGATCCAGCAGGTCATGGCAATTTGGGCAAAAAGAACCTTCTCCATCTAGCCGGACCTTCTCAAAATCAGTTCTCTTGTAATTCCTGACTAATGGCTGATCGGGAGCGGGTGACTTAGATATAGAAATGTTGAAGGAGATGACTGCGTGGTTACTCGAGCCAAGAGGGCTGAAAACATTGAAGTTGCTTACCCCATTGAACTGATTTGTGAAAATGTGATCTAGTCGGGATGCCTTAACATCAAACCCCCAGCGAGTACACTTGGAGACATGTTCCACCAATCAGTTCTCCAGTAACAATTTCTGAAGGTCTTTTAGAGCAGTAGATGGACTTTCTGTTGTAAAGCGTTGAGGGAGGTTAAAATCCCCCATAATGAGGACCTGTGGGAAGTCCAGTTCCAGGGCTCCTCTAATGGATTGTATTGACATTTCATTTAACGTGGCATCTGCTGCAGGAGGGCTATATAATACTTTAGCTGGACACGGCAGAGAACATCTTTAGTGCCGATTCTGTGAGAGTGAATTTTATGGACTTTTAGAGAAAGGCAGGTGAAAGAAGCCACGCCACCTCCTGGACCGTCCGGTCTATCCTTTCGGATTAGACTAAGCCATCCTAAACGAACTTTTTACTTGTTGAAGTAAGGAGTTCCACTCGTTGACTACACTATAGGAGGAACGCAGATTCACGCTAAGTTGATTCGATCGTG